CAACCTTTTTGGTGTCAAAGCTGTGAATTTCAACTAGAATTTCATCTTGAAATTGATTGAATTAGGTTGAGCTTGTAAAAGATAAATTGCTTGGTTCCCTTTTTTGCAATCTACCCAGCCTTTTTTACGTCAAAGCTCTGAATTTCAACCAGAATTTCATCTTGAAATTGATTGAACTAGGTTGAGCTTATAAAAGATAAATTGTAACTCTGCTTATTAGCTTTTTACTGCCTCAAGAATCACTTCAATCCGATATCCAGAGAGAAAGTTATGGTTGAATTACTACTACATGCTTAAACTGTCTTTTGTTGAAAAATTAATTCCCATTAAATTTGTTCTTTAATCTTCACTTACAAAATAAAACAATGAGATTGATGTAAATTTAGGTAAGACTAAGTTATAAAATACCAATAAGATTAATTCTTAAGCTAAAGAAAAGGTAGATAAATGCATATAAAAATTAAACTCATCAACTTTTATGGCCCTTGTTATTCCAAATTGATTAATTTTGGAGTCTTCCATTGCCTCGAATTGTTTTCAAAGAGCTCATGTTCAAGACTGTTTCTAGGTTCAAGTTTATATGACTAGAACTCCACTTGAGCTCAGATTGTTATAAGAACTTCAAACTGAATACCATGAAGTTCGAACGTGGCTCGATTACTATGCAAGTTTTGAAAGGAAAGGCTGTATAAGCCTAAATTTTATACCTTGAATGATTTAATGTACAATACTACAATCATCAAGCAGAGCAGAGAAGATCAAGAGTAATGATTGACACCAAAAAATGCTATATGACACAAATCCAGGGAAAGGAAGCAAAATCCTAAATTTTCCTTGTGCTTTTGCTCCTTTTCTTTTGTTTTAAATTTCCTAAACATAGAAAAGTTAGGAACTAAAAACATTCTATTCCAGCATTTAACAATTAACTAAAATAATTTTAACTTCAGACATTCAATCATTGTGTTCATAAAAGTTAAGAACAAATTTTCCAAGAGGCTGTAATTTCATTGAATTTGAAACAATTTCTACACTTGTTATTTGTCAATAACAAAATCATAGCATTTATGAACCACAATTTCTTCAAAGAAAGAAACAGGAAACAATAAACTCAGTGTTTTACATTTAAACAATTATGTAATCCATCTAATGTGGAAAAGTAATGCTCATATCTGATAGACAAGGTTCACTTCTTCTAACCGTAGATGTATTATGATTATCATACTTAGGAATAGGCATCATATCCAGAAGACTAGGCAATGGTGCCTCAAAATTAAGCACTTGCATTGCCAGCCTAATTGATGGTCTCAAACTACAGACATAATGTGTGCACCAGAGTCCAACAATCACCAAACACTCCATCTCTTTCACATTAGAATCAATATAGATTTTTTTATCAACTACATCAAGAAGCATTTCATTACCATATGCCTTCTAGACCTAAGCCACCAATGACACCTGATCATCATCTAGTTGGGGCTCTATTGGCCTTCTTCCACATGCAATTTCAAGTGCCACAACCCAAAGCTATAGACATCCGACTCATTGCTCACCTTGCCAGTGTTACGATACTCAGGATTCATGTAGCCCATGGTCACAACCAACAAAGTTGTTTGTGAACCTTTTTAATGGTCAACTAAGCCAAGCTAATTCAAAATCCCCAAGCTTAGCATTGAAGGCTGGGTCTAACATAATGTTGCTTGTTTTAATATCCCAATGTAGCACACAGAAGTCTCCTCCTTCATGTCAATACAATAATGTAAATGCCAAGCCCTGCACAATTTTATGTCTAAGCTTCCATGGTAACTTGCGTCTTCATTTGAAGAGATGAGATTCTAGGTTGCCATTGGACATGTACTCATAGCCAAGTAAAAGTTCCTTTTCATGGTACCAACCTATGAACTTCACTAAATTCTTGCTCCTCAATCAACTAACAATCTTCACTTCCATTATGGGGCGGAACTGTTCACCAAGAAGTGGATGACAAGGTCAAGCATTGGCTTGTATTCTGACCTAAAAGATTCCATTTGATGGAAGGAAATATGATCCTATTGCTTTTGTGTCAATTATTGTGGATGCTTTCATATCAAGCTTAGCCTTTGAAACTGCTTTGGGAATATTCTGCATTGTAGGGACTAGAAACTGTGCATATGAATCTAAAGGCCTCATTAAGTTTCCAACAACAATATACCAGAACTTGATGCTGTCATAGTTCCTAACATTGTTCTCAATCCAAGTATCTGCATTATCTTGACTAATGGCAATGTATTGAAAATTAGAATTGGAAACACCAAGCATAACCTCAATGTTGGAGCCTCAAAGTGCTTGGAGAACATCCAAATCTAGATCATAGTCTCATTCTTTGGGTATTATTCTGCTTGTAGAAAGTTACAACTTCTCTAAGCGCAGGTAAGTTACTCTCAAGCCTCCCATAACAAACACCAAAATAGGGACTTGGTGCCAGAGAATTGGGCCTTGGCAAGACTACTGGAAAAGGTGATGGACTAATAGATCCATTGATTTTAGCATTATATGATGAAATTGCAGCATGAAAAACAGATTGAGTGACCAGGGCTAAGCCAATTAAACAGAGAGCTGTTGAAAAACCATGCAATTGCATTTTGGTCATATGGATTGTAAATCATCAAGAAGATTTGCCCTTTGATTCAGTTGCTCAACTCAATCCAATCATCAGGCAAAAATATTGTCCATTTAGCTAATACTGTAAGTTAGTAAAGTCAAAGACTATGGTTAACAGCCAACAGGCACTAAAAGGAAAAGCTCAAAAAGGAAAGCATGACCCACATAGTTGTTTCAGTTAGACACCTTCCTAAAATTGAAATTAAACTGAAAAGCATATGTTAAGTTAAAGGCTGTAAATTTAGGAACTATCTATTCAGGAATCAGGAAATAAATAAAGGGAAATAACAAAAGAACCCATGAGATCCTTGAACTAGTTCAATCAAAGTTGTGTGGAATTCATCCTAGACATGTCCTTTTAACAAAAACTGCTGATTTTGGAAGGTGTTGTAACTCATAAGCCCTTAAGAAAAATAAAGAAAGAAATATCATGTTCTTCTAGTTATGAACTTCAATTTAATCAAGTCGATTCCTACTACTATCTAATTAAATTCATCTATTTAACACTGACATTAAAATTAATATCAATTTTCACATTTATTATATACATTTATGATAGAAAAAAAAAAA